CCTGTGCTGAGGCAGAAAATAATGGGCCCTTCGCCTCTGGGCTGTGGAGAACAGAGCAAGTTGCACCGACTTCTGATCCCCACTCAAGGTCAGATGCAGCTTTCTCTCTCCACCTGGCCCAGCTGCCCAAGAGAGCACTGAACTGCACAATAAAGCTGCCTCACCCAGGGACCTGGCACAGCTCCTCATGGTCTCTCCTGGGGAGGAGGAGGAGGGAACACACTCACCAGCTGTGCTGCACAAGAGCTTCCAGGGCAGCCCTGCAAAGGGCTCAGTGCTCCCCAAGAAACATGGACACTGACTTTGGACAAGGGTATGGAGTGACAGGACAAGGGGGAATGGCTTCAAACTGGGAGAGAGTAGGTTTGGATTAGATGTTAGAAATCCTTCCCTGTGGGGGTGGGGAGGCCCTGGCACAGGTTGCCCAGAGAAGCTGTGGCTGTCCATGGATCTCTGGAAGGGTCCAAGGCCAGGTTGGACGGGGCTTGGAGCAACCTGGGCTAGTGGAAGGTGTCCCTGCCCATGGCAGGGGGTGGCACTGGATGGGCTTTGAGGTCCCTTCCAACCCAAACCATTCCGTGATTCCGTGGTTCTACGATCTCAATGCTGCAGTGAGTCAGGAGCCTCTATCTGGTTCCAGGGCAAAGGAGCAGATCTGTTTGCAAATGCTGGCTCTGCAGTAGGACCATGGTATGTTCCTCCACTCTTGTAGCAGTTCTGGGGCTGGCCAAGCCCTGAGGAGAAGCTTGTGGCCCCTTTGTGCTCTCTCTGTACACAGGGGTGTGTGTCCTGCTGGCACAGGGAGCTTCAAGCCCTCCTCTCAGACCCCAAGGGCAGGGGCAGCTGGAAGGGTGGCTGCAGCTGATGTATTCCCAGCCCTGATGACTGTGGCACATGAAGGGCAGTGCAGGGACCTGTATCCAAACCCTTGCTTGGAGGTGCAGTATATAACCAATGTATGGTTCTCATGGTACAGATGGGGGTGCAGTGGGGAAGCAGTTCGTGGGAGCTGATCACCAGGAAGGTTGTAGAGAGTGAGAAGGTCCCCCCTGAGCCTCCTTTGCTCCAGGCTGAGCCCTCCCAGCTCCCTCAGCTGCTCCTGCTGCTCCAGCCCCTTCCCAGCTCCGTTCCCTTCCCTGCACACGCTCCAGCCCCTCCATGTCCTTGTTGTTGTGAGGGGCCCAGAACTGGACACAGGACTTGAAATGCCTCAGCAATGCCTGAAGGTCTTCATTCCTTGTTCTCCATATGACCAGCAGCTCCAGTGACCATGCTTGGAGTGCTGGGAGCTGTGTGCTCTTCCCTGGCTCTGTCCCTGCCATGGAGGCTCCTGTGCAAGGTGCAGGGCAGACCCTGCACCTCCAAAGCACTGTCCTTGCTGTGGTGGTGGCTGTGAGCACCTGCCTGCAGTGAGGGATGAGCCTGTAACACACCAGCAGCTGTTGGCAAACCCCTGAGGGAAGAGTGTCTGAGCAATGGAAATCTGGGTGCCCTGTCCAGCATTGCCCTGCCTCCAGCACAGAGCTGGTGCCAGAATATCCCCCGTGCCCTGAAGGGCTGGTTGCTTGTCCTGCTTCGATTGAACATCTCTGCAGGCACTGGCAGGGTGAGCTGTGTCACATGCTGCTGCTGCTGCTGCTGCCCTGGGGCCCTGGGCTTTTTCCATCCACAGACTGATGGGTACATTGGGAAAAGGACAAACCAGAGATGAGTTGCTGTGCACTGTGTGGAGCTCAGTAATTTTGGGGGTGCCACATTTCCCATCCCTCCTGGAGCCCTTTGGAGAACAGTGGGGAAGTCCTGGACCATGTGGTGCAGGGCTGTGCCCCACTAGTCCTGCTGTGAGCTGTGTCAGCCGGGGTTGGAGCAGAGCAGATCAGCCCTGAACAGACCTTGCACTTCATTGCCTTCATCCTGCCCCACCATCAGGCTCCCAGGAATGTGAGGGGAGAGGATGGTTTGCTTAGGGAGGCATCAGTGTGGCCAGAATGTGATGCCAAGGGGTGGGAAGAACCTGAGCAAAATCCAGACTTTAGTTGTTCCCTGCTTTGCTTGGGACTGGGAGCTTCAACCACTTTTTCTGCACCTGACAGGTCAAGGCAGCTGCCACCAGCTCCTGCTTCCAGGCAGCTTGGCATAAATCAGCATCAGAGCAACCAGGTGACTTGTCTCCACTCCAGGTTGTCCCCTGTTTGAATTTGGCTCTGACACAGTTTTCATGAAAAATTTATTTTGTGAGAAAATGGATTTTCAATCAAACCAGGCATTTCTACATGAAATATTGTTTGCATTGACATTTTCCCATTTTTTTTCAATGATACAGTTCCCTTCCTTCCTTCTCCCACCTTCTTCCAAAGAGACAAGCACAAAAATAATTCAGAAGTAGTGTTAATTTTTCAGTGAAACTGTCTGGCTTTGGGTAACACAGGACTGCATATTTTTAGAGAAAACCAAATATTTTTCCTCAAAACTGTGGAAAAGTCAGTTTTCAGAAATGAAACCATCACCTATTAATGGAGTGGGGGTATTAGAACCATCTGGTGAAGAGTTTGCAGAGAGACATTGGGGTCTGTAAGCAGCCAGCCCAGGAGGGGGATGCTGTGTCCCCTTGGCCCCACAGCCCTGCCCCTGCAGAGCCACAGGGAGCAGGGACAGCAGGGGCAGTGCCCTGGGGTGGCTCCTCCTCCTCATGACCCAAAGCCCAAAGTGTCCTGCTCCTGACGGGGATCCCTGTGCCTGTCCTCCTGCTCTCAGCCAGCTCTGCCCAGCCCTTGGTTCCATCCTAATGAGGCTGGAGCAGACACCCAATTAATCTGCTCTGGTGACAAACGGCGTGTTGGGCAGAGGGAGGAGGAGGCAGCTCTGGGCTCTCAGAGGACTCCTGCTCTGTCATGGAGCTGATTCCCACGTGCCCCACGAGGGTGCTGTGCTGGGGACACTGCCAGGCCCTGTGCCCTGATTCCTCTTCCTTCTGCCCTATTTCTGCCTGGCCCATTGACAGGCCAAGGGAGGCTCAGCTTTCCAAAAGCTCCATGTGACAAAGGTCTCTTCCACAGGCAAAGGCTTTGGGGAATTGACCCTGGATCTGCCCAGGCACAAGTGAGCATCCAGCTGCAGGTCCTCCCTCCTTTGGGTGTTTGGCTCTGCTCATACAGGACCAGCGTGGGGAGCCCAAGGTCACCTGGTTTATTCATCTGGAGGAGACTGGGGTCAGAGCTCACCAGGGGCTGCAGCTCCTCCCAAGGGGCAGCTCCGATCCCTGCTCTGTGTGACCAGGGACAGCAGCCAGGGAATGGCTGGAGCTGTGTCAGGGCAGGCTCAGGTTGGATCTCAGGCAAAGGTTCTTTCCCCAGAGGCTGGTTGGGCACTGCCCAGGCTCCCCAGGGCAGTGGGCACAGCCCCAAGGCTGCCAGAGCTCCAGGAGGGTTTGGACAACACTCTGAGGGACAGGGTGGGATTGTTGGGGTGTCTGTGCAGGGCCAGGAGTTGGAGTTGATGATTCTGTGGGTCACTTCCAAGTCAGGAGATTCTATGATCTCATAACCTATGATCCCACAACAGCCCTGAGCTGGATATTCTCCCCCACTCCCTGAGCTGTCTGGGAGCAAAGGGTGCTGGTGTGAGAGAGGGGCTGAGCCATGGCTGTGCAGAGCAGGTGAAGCTGTCAAGGCACTGCAGCTGCCTCCAGCACGGGGATTCTGCTGATTGTCCTTCCAAGGAGCAGAGGTAGTTCCAGAGGGGCCTGGGTGAGGTTCACCCTGGCAGCTGTGGCTGGCAGCTGGCTGGGCACACGGCCTTGGGAAATTCTTACTGTTTTCCAGCTCTTGCTCTTTTGCAGGACTAGCAGAATTTCTCAGTGTAGAGACATTTGTCAATTTGCATAATTAAAGCACTGCAAACTCATCCAGATTCACAGATCCCTGCGCTGGCTCCCTGGAGACTCACCACTTCTCTCCCATGAATTATTTATTGGCAGTGCTGTTTCTAACAGGCCCCTTTGTCTGCAGCGTTTGCTCCAGATTTCAGCTCTCTGAGGTGGAGATGATGCTGGTCCTCTGAGGCAGAGCTGGGGAGAGGAACAGCTCCATTTCCCACAGCCCTTCCTGTTTCCCTCACCCCAGCAGGGGAGAACAAGGGAAATTCCCTGGAACTGTGGGGCTGCTGCAGAGGGAGCTGAAGATGTTCAGCCCAAGGTTGGACTCGATGGTTTTGGAGGTCTTTTCCAATCTTAACAGTTCTGTGATTCTCTAGATTCTGTGTCAGCAGCAGAGGTTCCTGTGGAGGTGTCTGTAGCAGGGCAGCCCCAGGGCTGTGGTCCCCACTCTGCTTCATGCCCTGGGTGCTCAGGGGGCCTGGCACCTCTGCCCTGGGTGCTGCACAACATAGACCTGCATGGCACCTGAGGGCTGTGCCTGGGACAAGTGGGAATGTCTCTCCATCCCTGTGTGCTGTGAACATCCCCCCTTTGATGGGAGCTGCTGGTGCCCCTTGAATCCTGGGGGCACTTCTGGGCCCCTCAGACAAGAGACACGGAGGGGCTGGAGCGTGTCCAGGGAAGGGAAGGGAGCTGGGAAGGGGCTGGAGCAGCAGGAGCAGCTGAGGGAGCTGGGGGGGCTCAGCCTGGAGCAAAGGAGGCTCAGGGGGGACCTTCTGGCTCTGCAACCCCCTGACAGGAGGGGGGAGCCGGGGGGGGTCGGGCTCTGCTCCCAGGGAACAAGGGACAGAAGAGGACACGGCATCAGATTGTGTCAGGGCAGGTTTAGGTTAGATATTAGGGAAAATTGATCCATGGAAAATGTGGTCAGACATTGGCACAGACTGTCCAGGGCAGTGGTGGGGTCACCAGCCATGGAGGGATTTAAAAGCCCTGTGGATTTGGCACTTGGGGAACATGGGTTAGTGGTGACCTTGGCAGTGCTGGGCTGACATTTGGACTCCATGGTCTTAGAGGGCTTTTCCAACATGATTGATTCTGTGATTCCATGATTCTGTGAGGCAGAGGAACAGTCTGAGTGGTTACACTGCAGCCAGGCACCCCAAGCTCTCCTGCATGCTCCCCTTCCCACGGTCAGCTCTGCCTCTGGTGAGAGCAGCCACTGATTAGTCCTGCCAGAAACCACACTGCCCTGGTTCAGGCACAGAAAAAAAGAACAGATAACACGAGAGAGAAAGCCAGAGAGAGGGAAGGAGGCAGGAGCAAGTGGTAAGTACATAGAAACCTTGCTGGTGTTTGCAGGCTCTCCCTGCTGGAGTCGAGTGTGTGCTTGTAAATCCCACAGCAGAGGAATACAAATATTTGTGCTGCAGAAACACTCCTGATGAAGTCCTGGAGCTCTCCCTCTCAATTCCTTTCAGCCTTTGTGAGGCCTGTTTGCTACTTGGCCTGTGGGAGATGGCAGAGATGCAGCTGCTTTTGAATGGGCAGATAGTGACAGGACAAGGCGGAGATTTAAATTAGATGTAAGGAAGAAACTCTTCCCTGTGAGGGTGGGGAGGCCCTGGCACAGGTTGCCCAGAGAAGCTGTGGCTGCCCCTGGATCCCTGGAAGTGTCCAAGGCCAGGTTGGACAGGGCTTGGAGCAAGCTGGGCTGGTGGAAGGTGTCCCTGCCCGTGGCAGGAGGTGCAGTGAGACCAGAGCAGCACTTTCCAGTCTCGTACCCTGGACTGACGTGTCACCCTGGACCTGGAGCTGGAGCTGGTGAGGGGAGTTTGCAGCTGCAAATTCAGCCCTAAAAAGTTGTGATCTGCCCAAATTACAGATGCCTGGCAGTTCTCATCCCCTCCCCACCCATGAATATGGATGTTCAGCAGCGGGGATTTTAATAACATAAGCACTTGCTATTCTATATCCTGGAGCTGTGCCAGCCCCGGGTCTGCAACAGCAGGGAATGCCCCAAAAATGAGATGAGCTGTAAGATCCCTTCCCACCCAAAGCACTCTGTGATTCTCTGGCTGAAGGAGCACTGCCATTGGCACCGAGGGGGCAGTTCCCAGTGCTGTGCTGTGCTTTGCCCAGGCCGGCGGGGCTGGGGTGTCCCGGCAGTGCTGTGCTGGTTTCACTCAATGAACAGCTCCAGGCTGAGTCCTGCAGGGCTCGAGGGCTTCTTTTGGCAGGCCCAGCTCTGGCTGTGCTCATCAGAAGGTGTGATCACACCTGCAGAGCCGAGGCCTGCAAGTCTAATTTTCAGCTCCTGTCCCCTTCGTTAAATCAGACGAGGCGAGAAATGGTACAATGCAGTTGGGGGCTATTGTGAAAAACCTCTGCAAAGGATTTTTCACAGTGTGATGGAAGCTGGAATATTCATCTGGGCTTCTTAGTTTTTGTTTTAATTTATTTATTTTTTTTCCCAGGGACTGCTGTTGCTGATGTATTATTTATATAGCAGGAAATTAGGCTCTGAGGACTCAAGTATTCTTCAAATAAGCTTCCTAATTCTGTCAATTAAGAATGCACAGGCTGCTGGGGCTCTAGCTTGGGATGAGCCGCAGAGGAGTGAAAGCTGCCCCTGGTCATTGCTCTGATGTGCTGCTACAGATATTTCAGCTGGAGGAAAAATATCTTAGTCCCAAAATCAAACGTGTGAGATGCTGGGAGGGTTATATAGAGCAGCTCTGGCTGATTCCAGTGGGACAAATAACTTCCCTGTGCTCTGACAGGGGAATACTGAAATGCTGAATGTGTGGCCGCTTGTTGTTCTGTTCTGTAGTGAGATCTGGTGCCTTTCCTTGCTGTAACAAACTGCTGCCAGGGCTGGGAGCCCACTGTTGGGGGGAGTTTGGGGTCATTTACTCCCTAATTAATGCAGTAATTCTTCATGTGCTCCCGGGGCAGCTCTAGAGCAAATGAGCTGATGTGTAATTAATATATAAAAGAGCATCTTCCCTCCTTTATTACACTTCCTTAACCAGCAGGAATTTGGAAATCTGTTTGGAATTCTCCTCCTGCACCAGGCCTGTTCCCAGCCATGGGAGCAGGATCAGGCACAGGGCTGCGGGACAGGCTGTTCCCACCTCCCACGGGAAAGGGAATGTCATGGGGCAGAGGGGGGAGGGAGCAGAGCGTCTCCAAAATGCAGCCGGGCACGGGGTGGGCACCACGCTGGGAAACACTGTTCCCTTCTACCTGCCAAAGCTCAGCCCCGATCTGTGCCCGAGCATTTCGGAGCCAGGAAAGAGCCTCGGGGGGAGCTGGGCTGGGGGATCCTCACCAGCACATTTACGGAGCCTTTGGTGCCTTTCTGCACGGGGACGGCAGCACAGGGACAGCTCAGGGCTTGTGCCCCCCGGTGCTGCTGAGAGAGGTGAGATCTCTCAGAGGACACCCCTTGGTCCCCTCCTGCCCCTCCTGGCCTGGACAATGTCCCCCCCCCTGCCCTGCAGGCACTTCAGCTCTCTGGCTGAGGGAGGAGGTTTATGGCTGCAGCACAGTTTTTCTTTTTTATCATTGCCACGAATTTAATGTCCACTGCAAATGCAGATCTCTCCATCTGGAGGAGGGATAACTGCCTGTGCTGCCTGCTCTGCAGGAGCTCAGTCTGGAGGACACAGACACTCCCTGGGCAGCCCAGGGACAGGGCTGGCACTGCTGCTCGGGGTCAGGGCTGCCCTGGTGACCCCCCTTCTCCTGGGGGACAAGTCCTTCAGTACCACATGCCAAGGACCAGTTCAGAAAGGATGGATTCCTCTGTGTCCCTGGGAGTGTGGGGCTGCCCCTGTGCAGGCAAAGATGTCACCACCACCCTCCAGCCCTTGTAGGGGACATCACAGTGACTGACTTGCACAAGGCCTGTGTTAACTGAGCTGGGGATCCCCAGTCACAGAGGAGAGAAATAAATTTCCTTGCTTTCTGTAACCCTTTATGGCCTTGGAAGCATCTCTTTGTCACTCTCTTTTGTCAGCTAAACAAGTTTTCCCTCCCAGCCTTCTGTAGCACCATCCTTTGTGGAAAAGCTGCTGGGAGCATGGGTTTAATTTTTAAAGTGGTTTGTAGATGGAAAAAGATGAAATAACTCATCCATTTGGATTCACAGAGCAGAACTACAAACCAACAGCTCCACAACCCTGATCAGCTGTAGGAAATGCTGTGTGATGGTTCAGTGCTCGGATTTGTGCACAGGGATGTGGGAAGTGCCCTCTCCACCATTTCCCCACTCATGGGCATGTCCCTTTGCATGAGCAGCAGAGATGCTGGGAGGTGACCGGGACCTGTGATGTTTTTGGGGTTGCTGGAGGGTGAGTGTGGCCCCTCACTGTTGCTGTGGGGTGGTGGAACATCCACAGCCCAGTCTCAGCTTCCCTGGGAGCACCACACAGGATCACCAGGGGCAGAGCAGAGCTGAGAACAGCTCCCATGACGAGTGTCCTACCCTGCTTGATCCATGAGCTCTCATTATTTTGGCCCCAACCCCTCCCTGTGTGCTCTCCAGAATCTGGCTCCTAATCCCACGTGTCTGGATCTTGCTTTCCCTTCTCCTGCCTCCCACAGGATGCAGCACTCTTGGCCATCTCCATCTCGTGTCCACAGGCTGCCCCTCTACCCCATCCTCCCACCTCTGGTTCTGGTGCCCTCCCTCAGTTTTGCCCTGGCTCTTGTTTCTCTCTCTGCTGCCCCACGGTGCTCGTGAGCCAAGGGCAGCACGTCCTCCCTCTGTGTGGCCACCACTGACCCTCAGATATGGCATGAGACCAAAAACTGAGAAACTGGGAGCAAAACTCAGCTCTGAATCTCTCAGGCTTCAACCCATGTGTTGAGTTAGAAAAGCTGCCAGCAGGCAGCTCACAGGCTGTTTCTGCTTTGAAGAAGCTTGTGAAATCTAAACCACACGTGGCATTAGAGTTCTCCATGCCCTTCATGCTTGGGGGGGGGAATAAATGCTTTTCTTTTCAGCTCTGGTGAATGCAGGGCTGAGCCTCTCCATCTGAAAACGCTGGGTTTGCTATGGAAACCAGGCCCTGTTGTGACAGCTCTCCAGTCCTCATCCAGGGAGGAATCAGAGACAAGGCTCCTGGGTGGGGAACAATGAGCAGGAGAGAGACACTGACCCTTTTCTGCACCTCGCTGGGGCACATGTGGAGCAGCTCCTTGCTTGGCTGGCCTTGCTCTCAGTTTGGGAGGGCAGTGATGGAAAGGGGGACTGGACACAGGGAGGGAAACGCAGCAGAAATCTCCGCATTCTGCTCATTTCTCAACTGATCCTTTTCTCCTTGTTATTCCTCTTCTCAGTCTTCTTTTTTAGTCCTGCCAAATAGGAATGTACAGAAATATCAGCCACAGTGTTTTAAAGAGGCAGCACACTTACAAAACTAGGATATCTGTCATTAAAAGTTTGGATTATTCCTGCTTTTCTACTGGTTGTCAGGAGACAGAGCTTTGCAGGAACCTGCCAGCCCACTCCTGGGGATGTCTGTGCTCCACATGGGCTGTGGGGGAGAAGGAAGAGCTGCACAGTCCTGGGGGGCACTTGCCTGTCATTCTCAGCCATCGCTGTCATGGGTGTGGTGCTCAGCAGGAATGAAGGAACCCATCACTCACATTGCTGAGCTCCTGCCTTTGGCAGGCTCTTCATACTGGAGCAGGTGCCTGCACAGCCAGGAGACATCAGGAGGAGGGTTTGGAAAGCAGCAAGGCATCTAGAGGGGCAAAACCTACTGCACTCAAGGTCCACACAAGTTCTCCCTGGAGGCCCTTGCCGGGGTGTCACTTCAAAGACAAGAGGGATCAGCCCAGCGTGGGTGTGCACAGCTGATCTCACTGTCCAGTGGCATTGATCTGACCAAGCCTGGAAGCCACCTTTACACTCTTTACAGTCAGTGGAATCCAGAGTTTCTTTCTCCCAGTTTCTTTCTCCACACCTGCAGTTCCTCAGCTGAGCTGTCCCAGGGTCTGCAGCCCAGACTAACAGGATGCCCTCCCCGAGCTACGGTGTGAAATGCAAACACCACCTAACTCTGGGATCTTGGTACATATGAAATTCATGCTTGCATCCCTTAAAGAGAGGGAAATAAAATTATCATTACCATGGATCATCACCCCTTTTTGGGGGGTCCTTGGCCCTCCCTTTCCCCAGAGTAACCCTCCAGCCAGGCCCCAGCTTGAGGCAGGAGAGCAGGCAGGAGAGCAGGCAGGAGAGCCTGTTGCTTCTGCTGCTGACACCAGGTCTGTAAATCACCTCTCCCCTCCTGCCTGCTCTCCCCAGGAGTGCTTAAATCAACTCTAAATGAGCTCTTTTAAGGAAATGTAGGCAATCAGTGGTGAGTTATTGCAAGGCACAAGGGCTTTCTTAAAAGCGACCAGCACTTATTGGTCATTTGGACTCCAGAAGGCACAACCCTTTAAATCAGAGCCCACAGGTTGGGCTAAAGCAGAGCCTCTGCCACTGCCTGGAGAAGATCTGTGCTGGAGGGTTCACAGAATCCCAGAATCCCAGAACATGCTGAGTTGGAAGGGACCCACAAGGATCATCCAGTCCAA